TGGAGTGAATCATTGAAGAACAAAAGCAAATCAAATGTGCTATGACCTGTGATTCACGGTACAAATACTGACTTCAGTTACCCAGGCACATGGCTATGAGGAGAGGACAGGGACTTCTGGAGAGTGTGATTTGATGCATGTTAATAATTATAATAATAGAAAGAAAAATCTGCCTGACGGGGAGAGGAGCAGAGCGTCGGGCAGCAGGAAGTGCGGCAGGTGTGCTGGGACTGTGAGGACAGGATGGTGAGGGAGCCCAGGGGGAGGGCAAGGAGGACAAGGATGCAGCAGGGCTGGAGAGGTGGGCTGCTTCTGTGAGCAGCACTCAGTGGGAGAGCACAGGGTGTCCCTGGGCAGGACTGACTGGCCTTGTGTGCACATCATCCGGGTGCTTTATTGTGATGAATTAAAGGCACCAAGACAGCAGCTGGTGTCCTTTATCACTGTTCAGTGACAGATGAGTGTAGGTACCCCCAGTGTTGGTATGAAAGGTGCCAGATGGCCACATCCTTGGCCAGCCATGGAAGCGGAGCTGCTGGGATCTGCTCCTGGATGAGCTGTGTTTTGTGGTGAGAGGAGAGTGAGGAGGACCCATGGTCTTGGACCCCGAGAACTGCCACACAAAATGGCTGGTTGTGCTGATGGCCATGCTGCAGGCAAGGCCCACGAAGGGCAACTGGTTTGGGGGCAGGTTGGCAGATACTTAGCATCCAAAACTGGCCAGGGAGGCAGATGAGTTCACAATAAGGACCTTCAGGGGAGAGGCCAGGCTGGCAACATGCACTGCAATCAGTAGCAGAGGACTGGAGTTGACTGGAGAGTTGAGTGAGCCAACCTAGAACCACAGGGCTTGAGCCGAGAAAGAAGTCCCCAACTTGGCACTGCAGCTTGTCCTGGGGCAGTGAAGGAGGAGAGGGGACACCAAGATGGAGGGAAGCATGGGCGCTGGTGAGTCTGGAAAAGAGCAGGAGTCTCTCCAGGACAGTCAGGTCCTCATGGTGTCTACCAACACAGGACCGTCCGTTCACCACCCTGGTGGCTGCTGGGCATGTGGGCAGGACAGTTTGCTGTGCATAATGGCCCCATTACCCTTGACAGCCAAAGCTCTTTCACAGATTTCTTTGGCTAACAATGGAGCTGAGCATTGTGCATATTAAATGAGCCCCGCAGTTCCCCACCCCACCAGCCACATTCCAGGCTGGTATTTGCTTCCTGTGGAGTTGGGAAATCAGGTACAGTCTTTGAATCTCTTCATCAATATTGTGAGGTGGTAGTAACCACATTAAGGGTGGCTTCCTAACCTGGTTTGGTGGCACATTCCTGTAATCCCAGCAGCTGGGGAGGCTGAGGCAGGAGGATCATGAGTTCAAAGCCAGCTTCAACAATGGCAAGGTGCTAAGCAACTCAGTGAGACCCTGTCTCTAAATAAAATACAAAATAGGACTGGGGATGTGACTCAGCGGTTGAGTGCCCTGAGTTCAAGCCCTGATACAAAAAAAAAAAAAAGAAGAAGAAGAAGAAGGTGGCTTCCTGATTTAACATAGGTAATAAACACACAGAGCCTAGTGATGTGGCCAGTCAGGTTCAGGTATCCATAGAAGTTCATGATGTGTGGCTTGAAGATGAATTGGACTAGTACAAGTAGTAACTGTTTTTGCCATGACCTTAAGGTCTATTAATGAATTTACTACCTTTGAGTGCTTACAAGGAAGTACTCTGGTTTTGATGTAGATGCATTTGCCTACTATGTATGTGAGTCAATCCTGCATCAGTCTTGCTGGGACTCCACAGTACATGTTAGATGGTCCTCCTGTTGTGGAACCAATCACTACAAACAGCCACTTTAGACCACACCCACTAGTTAGCTCACAGGTCCAAAGATCAGACTTGCAGGTGGGAGTAGCTGACTCCCTTGCTTGGATTAGGGTTTCTGAAGGCCAAAATCAAGGACTGAGCCTCTCTGAGGAGTCTGGGGAAGGACTTTCCAGCTGGAGTTCCCTGCAGCTGCAATGCCATGGTCCTTGTTTTCCTGCAAGCCATTATTTGGGGCCACTCTGCTCCAGAGCCTCTCACCTTCCTCTCATGTGACCCTCCCCACCTTTCACCCTGGCAAGGCTGTATCAGAGCCAAGTCTAAGACTCTCTTCTGGCACCATCCTGATAGCTAGAGGACTTTCTAGTTTTAAAGGGCTTGTGGGATTAGGTCAGACCCTCCCAGATAGCCTCTGTTGTCCTAGAATGTCACATAATCATGAAGGTAATAACACCAGGGCATGGAGGTCAGGGCATCTAGTGTACAATTCCCCCAACCACAGTTACACCACTTTGAAAGTAGTGAATTTCATATTAATGATATTATCTTATACAATCCCCAAGCAGTTTATAATTTCATGCTAAGCGCAGATGATCCTAAGTGCACCCAGGAGCTCTGGGTGCAGATGAAAAGGTGCCTTCCACTGGGCGTTTGGCTTCCCAGCAAGCTGACAGCAGCGCTGTTCTAATGGCCTGGTCATGCCAAGGCCTCCCTGGGCGCCCCAGCAGGTTGAAGACTTGCTCAGACCCTGGAGAAAGGCCTATTTCTTGGACAGTCTGAGAGGGTGTTGCCGACGCTCACCCCCGGGGGCGTCTAGTCCTTCCCGTGCATTCACATGTCCCACCACTCTCTGCAGTGGACGTGAAGCTGGACCCTTCCACGGCGCACCCCAGCCTCCTGCTGACAGCCGACCTGCGCAGCGTGCAGGACGGGGAGCTGTGGAGGGACGTGCCCCGCAACCCCGAGCGATTCGACACCTGGCCCTGCATCCTGGGCTTGCAGAGCTTCTCATCAGGGAGACACTACTGGGAGGTGGTGGTGGGAGTGCGGGCCGAGTGGGGCCTGGGCGTCTGCCGGGACTCGGTGCAGAGGAAGGGGGAAGCCACGCCATCCCCGGAGAACGGCGTCTGGGCCCTGTGGCTGCTGCGCGGCTGCGAGTACATGGTGCTGACCTCCCCGTCCGCGCCCCTGCTGCAGCTAGAGCGGCCGCGCCGCATTGGGGTCTTCCTGGACTACGAGGCGGGCGAGGTGTCCTTCTACAACGTCACGGACGGGTCCTACATCTACAGCTTCAGCCAGGTGTCATCGGGTGTCCTCCGGCCCTACTTCTTCGTCTGCGACGAGGCGCCGCTGATCTTGCCACCGATGGCAGAAGCGGAGGCAGAGAACTGGGCGTCCGGGGGCCACCCTGACCCTCCTCTCGTGGGCGACCTTCAGTCCTGAAGTGCTGTGCTCAGGGTCCTCCCGCAACCTATCCAAGGACCCTGGAGAGCGGCGGAGGAGGGACATACAGCTTCACCAAGTGCCCAGCTCAGGGCAGCCTCTTGCTCGGGCCTGAGGAGGTTCCTTGAAATCCAAGCAGACAGGAGATGCTGTGTATGCGGGAACGTTGGACCTGGAGGGTCTCCTCAAACTATTCCCGGATGGCCCCCCACTTACTCGATGGCTTTTCTTTCAAATTAATAGTCTCGTATTAAAGAGTTCTGTATGTTCGTTATAATTTCCATTCTTTTCAGTGTCTTCTCTCCCAACGCCAAATCTCCCGGCTGAGAGATGGAAACCCTGCAGGGGGCCCGAGCAGGCTGAGCCTCCCTCCCGAGCCCTCCCTCACCTTCCTGGCTGGCTCCTCCTCTGTCTCATTCCTTGCCCCCCCCCCCTTTTTTTTTTCCTGGATACCTCTGGTTGTTTAAAGTTTCGTTTCCTTTTACATCAACATATTCAAAATCATCCTTCACAAGTGTGTCTTTATTCTGGGAACAGTTTTTGAGGGTCGTGAAATTCATTGCTCCGACCATAACATGGATTTCCATCTTCTCTCTTTATCTCTGCAAATGTTTGTAAAAGTAGGAATGCCTTAGATATTTGATCCAACTGGTTTTCTTCAGAGTCAGGAGGGACTAAGGAAGGTTTGCATCAGCTTTCCAAAGGGCTGCGCCCATTCATGGGGCCAGAGGACAGCTGCAGCCTCCTGCCTGCTTTGGGGATTGGCCCCAGGACCACAGCAGGGGTCCTTCCCTGGGGGTCTCCTGTGCCTGGAACAATTTACTGGCCCTCACAGTATTAGGGTAGGTATTTAAGGTCATGATTGATGTGACTAGTTTAAATTAACTGTGTTATTTAAATAAAATGGTGACGTTGAAAATGAAATGATAAAAATAACTTATTTTTGAATTATATTCTGTACCTTTCCAACAAAATCCTTTAAAAGTCATTGAAGACCCCCTATTCTGCCACCTTTGTCTTCATTTTTATCTAATATGTAATTGCTAAACAAATATTGTAATATTCTAATGCTAAATGCTTAAATGATGAACAAATATAAATTATGAGCAAATTTAATTAATGTTATCTTGATAATCTGTCCAAAGTGTATTCTTCCTTTTTAACTCCATCTCAAAGTTCAAGATGCTTTTTTCTTCCGGGAGATTTCTGCGACTGTCCTTCCCTGGCCTTGCAATCATGTGAATGACAACTTTCTTTTCAGATTCTTAATTGTCTGATGACAAGTAAGTGCTTGCCCTCTCTGCCTCTCATTTGCAAACAGAAGAGGTAGAAAGATGTTGTAGAAACCAAGCTGTCTCTGATGTACAGGCAGTGCAGGGGACAGCTCTGCAGTGCAGCCTTCCCCACCAGGATGACAAAGGCTCTCTGGGGTGAAACCTCCAGGGACCTTGCCATTCTCTGGGACAGGAAGCCTTCTCTGTGGGAAGTGGCAAGTCTACAAGCCTCTGCTCTCTCTGTAGGGTGAAGGGGAGCCTCAGGAACACCCCTGGAACCTGAGAGCCTTGTCTCAATAGTGGCCTTGAGACTTGTCACCTCCTGGATTTTATTTTGATTTCTGTGGGCCACTAAATGTCAGTCCTTCTCAGCTCCAGTGTGCTAAGCTTCAGGGATCTCCACAGTTCCTATTGCGACCTCTTCTTCATTCCTTCCAATTCCCTAAGAGGTTCCCACCATTCCCCTGGGATTCTGGCTCATTTCCCGCCAGATCCTCTAAATCCGTATCTAATTCCTGACCTTCTTCATTCTTTCTCCTGAGCCTTAGCTTTTCACAGTCAAGTGCCACCGGTCATCAAAATCGATATTCTAGGGGCTGGGGACATAGCTCGGTTGGTAGAATGCTTGTTTTGCATGCACAAGGCCCTGGGTTCAATCCCCAACACCAAAAAAAAAAAAAAAAAAAGACATTCTAAGTTCTATATGCCTAAATCTTAACCACAAATATCTCCAGGTCTCCCTGAATGATAAAAAGATATTTTAAAGCCTCCCCTTCTGAAGGGAGGCCTGCTCATTTCTCTGTCAGGTAGACCAAACATCTCAGTGACTCCTTTCTGCATTTCACTCCAGCTCCTGTCCCTCAGCGGTAACACCCTGTTGGCTCCCATGGACCAGAGTCCAGTCAGCCCTTCCCCACCCCCATCCTGGTAGTCTGAGCTTCCCCTCCCTTGAGATCACTGGGTTCATCTCACAGTGGTCCTGTAACAGTGGTCCCTTCACCTCTGAATGTAGCCCTCATTGCTCTAAGGTTTATTTAAAAAAAAAAAAAATTTTTTCCTCTCTTCTCCCCTCTCCCCCTCCCTAACAAGATTTGGAAGACAGTGTCATCTTTTCTTCCCCTAGTTAACTGCCCTTGAACACCTGCTACAGGAAGAGGGTGCCTGCTAAGAATCTGGGAAGTGAGGATCTCCAAAATGTGAATACTAATAGGGCAACCTGAAGGCCCCCTCCTGGAATGTAACTCTTGAAAAAAAAAATTTTTTTTTTTTATCTCCTTTGCTAGCAAAGCAATGAAGCTTCTCTTTCCTTTTCCTGAAAACCTTGGCCTCATCATCAAATTGCATTGGAGACAGGGACCGAGGTTTTTGTTACAAATCTTGGCACCCCAGATGGGACCTGAGAAGAAGCCCTGGCTCTGGGTTTCTTGGACAGTCCTGGCACCCCATGAACTGCACTTCCATGCTGAGGATGTAAGATGAACTTTTGGAGAGCTCCTGGAAAGTTAGGGGTGAGTGGGCCTCGGGTGGAACTGAACCAGAGGAGCTATTCCTGTAAGTAAAGGGAGGGACGGAGGGACTCCCAGCAGCTGCTGAAGCCCCTGAGCTCAGGGGGACTCCCACCTTCCTTCCCTGCACTGTAAGGATCACTCCATCTTGGTCTACTTGGAGAAAAAGGAAACTGAATGCAGTAAAGTTTTGGCACCTTGGCCACCTGGTAAGCTGCCCAGTGCACACTGAGACCTTTGATTCTACACTTCTGGTCCCCTTTGTGGGAGCACCTGGTTCCCCACCCCTATGGGAACATCTGTGACGCCACTGATGTAGGAGTCGCGGATAAGCGGGAATTGGGAACTTGGGGAGATTTTCCCACTATCTTGTCTGGTTTAAAGGTCCCCATCTGTCTGCCATGGTTTGGGGATCCTCTATGTTTCTCTGTCATTATGTTTCTTTGTTTGTATCTATTTCTGGCCCTTTAAGACATGGGCAATAAGGAGTTGATCCTATAGATTGTTTCTTGGGAAAGATCTTGACTGAATGGGCTACCTATAGATGTAAACGTGACTAAGAAAAAATCATGTTTTACTGTGACAATCTGGTCTTTGGTTTTCTAAATTATTGTACAGTTGGGAGTTGGTCTGTCAGAGATAAAATAAGTGTTCTGTATATACAGACATGTAGGCCATTACATAATAAGGAGTCTTAACAGTCAAAACTAAGTTGGATGAAAAAGGTGCTGCCCTATGTGTGAGCAGCAGGACACCAAAGGAGGATTGAAAAAAAGAAGTTGTTTTCCTTTCAACCCAGTGCTGACAGTGTGATCACCTTCTCAGCCTGGCCCCAGGCAACTTTAAATCATCCTGCTGTGGGTCAGGATCGCCAGTTCTGGGGTCAAAGAATAAACAAATAAATGAATAAAACTCAAGAAAGCTGCCTGGTCTGTAGAGAAATGGGCAAACAGGATCTGCCCTCTACTCTGCTTTTTAGCCACTCTTTGCCCAGGGATAAAAGTTTGAGAACAGGGCTCAGTTTGCTGCCCCTGAAGACGAATGAAATGTATGTGGGCTGTAGGTCTCACCAATTTTCTTTCTGTGTTCTTGTCTCATGGGTTCAAAAAATGAAATCCATGGATGATGGCAAAGGATAAAATTTGTTTTTTAATTATTTTTGAGTGAGGAAAAAGAAATGAAATTCCCCATCATGTGAGGAAGAAAGTGGCGGAAAGCTTTTTTCCACTTGAGTACACTAGTCTGGGAACTTAAGGCTGCTGGATAAAGGCTCTGATCAGAGTCCATGCTGAACAGACATTAAAAGCGTTCCAACTAATTGTTGGAATCTATGCTGTAGGATGTTGGGAAGGGATAAAAGTTACTGGCTTGGCCGTGACTTTCTATTTGGCTGAATGCCTTTAGCCCTGAAGTCTGATTTTTTTTTTTTTTTGCAACCTCCTTTTGGGTCCACCCCCATTTCCATTTTCCTGCCACCCTGGGGACAAAGGAGTGGACTGGAATGCTGGACCTCACTGGGTTTACTTTACATTTGGAAAAATTAAACAAATAAATAAATAGCCTTATCTGGAGCCCATTACACTCATTGTCTGATGATTAACTAGCCTATCTTAATGGGGTGTAAAAAAATAAAAATAAAAGCTGCCAGTCACTAGGAAAGGGGCAATGGGTTCCAGTACTCTTCAATAAAACAATAACCTGGGGAGAAAATAGTCTCCCCTTTCTAAGCTCTGACAGCATGTCCTATTTGGCCAGAGGACACTTGTGGGTGCAGCCCTACCTGTTGCCCAAAAAGCTAAAATACAAGGGCCTAAGCACTTATGTCTTGGCTCTGCTGATTTCTGCAGAGAGAGGTCCCTAACAGTCTTTGTATGGTCATTGTGACCTTCCTTGTACAGAATTCCCTAGATACATACACACATACAAATGTAGAGAGAATCTCTGGGTACAATTGACAGTGGGGAACTCACTTAAAGTTGATGGCATTATGATGATGATAAGGGAGACTGGTCAAACAAGGATAACCTGTGCTCCAACCTCTTGAGCACAAACTGGAAGGGAAAAAGATTAAGGCATAATTTTTTGTTTTTAAATATTCCAGACTGATCCCTCTCCTGGGATAAAATTTGTTATAAAAATTAAATGTACAAATAACATGCTCACGCAAAGAGTAACAACTTCATTTGCAAGTGCCTTCCTCTCTGCTGGAGGTCTCCTAGAAGAGAAGGAGGCCTTTCTGGCCAGAGGGACCCTGAGAAAGTGATCAATGTTTTCTCAACCACAATTTTATTTTAGGAGGAAATAACTTGCCCTTGAGGGGAAGGGATAACTCCTTAAGAGAGAGACATTAATGGGGATTCATCCTCTTCTGGACGGTTGTTGGAAATGTGACTTGAGTCAGCTTTTCCAGATCTCCTACTCTGCCTATGCTGCCTGTTAAAAAACTCCACACTAATGAGGAACAATTTGTGCAAGGCTTGAGCTCTAAAATATTAAAGTGTGATGCCCATTACTTTTAGGTTTTTTCTTTATTAGAGAAAGAGATACCTTACAATTTTGGCCAGGCTTGATTTTTTTTCATGAATAACCTGAATATATATGTCACTAGAGATATGTATACATCTGATACTAAATATGTTTGTCTGAGCCTTATCTAAATGTTCTGTAGAAGTTT